AGACAAAAAAAATGATCCGTTCCAAACATTAACTGTAGTTTCGAGCCTGGAGACAAACATATTTATAACTAGCTGATACTCGCAACGTCGTTTGCGTCGTTTATTATAATAACCATGTTTTTTTACGTGCAGAGGAAATAACATCACAAAACAAGATGATCGGAAGCCAAAAATGTATATATTTATAATACATTTTATATAATAACTACATGTTATGAATAGAGTTGACGCAAAGGTAGAACAGCACTTTAAGAAAATCAGATCACTGAATACGTAGCGTTTATAAAAATCGTTGTTCCTTAAAACCTTAATAAAAATAAAAATTATATCAGGAAACTTTTTTCAAATCAGGACCAAGTATCTAAGAAATAAAATTTACAGGAATTAATTGAAATACATTCAATTCAGTACCGAGGGACAGCGGTGCGTTCCGTAGGAGATCCCGGAGTTCCTCCAAACGTACAGAAGGTGGCCACCGAGGGGGTTTTAGTGGGTAAGAACCCCACATTACCCTGTCATAGATTGACAGGGTATCTTACGAAGATTTCCCCCCCGATACCAAAAAAAAAGGCCTCCACGCAAGCCATCTGCGGATTGAAAGACTTAAAATATGCTGAACTTAACTGTGGTAAGACCATCAACAGTCTTCGCTGTTGCAGGAATGGGCAGGCCCGCCCGGAGAAGTACCACGTCTCCACAAAAGACCGGCGTTAAGTGTAAGTGTTATACTTCTGCGTTTCTTCTGGTGAGAGAGGTCTGAGCCGCGGTTATTTTAAGGTGGCAACGCATGTGCATCCCTACTGGTGTTGCAAATGTCAATGGGCGGTGGTTATCACTGAACATCAGGTGAACCGCCAGGTCAATTGCCATCTTCTTCCTTCACATAAAAAAATCTTCGAAATATTTTTTTCTCTTATTAATTCGAAAATAAGCAGGTTTCCTCACGATGTTTACCTTCCCGGTAAGTATGTGATAAGTCAGAAGGTAATATTATAATCAACAATTTCTTTAGTGACCCCACCGAGATTTTAACACAGATTGGTCAAGTATACAGTGGCGGATTTGGCGGCCACATATTAGGTGCGGCCAATCGTAACAAAAAACTCACTGATGATAACAAGATATAATATGATGGGCGCTGAGAAAGGGGCGGCTGGAACTTACTACATGATCTGGGCCTAGGGCGGCCAAGATTACAAATCCGCCACTACAAGTATACTATGTTAAAAGAGAGCTTACTGAGCTACACATCTGTGATAACATGGCGTGAACTTTTTAAATGTATTATTGTATTAAAATACGAGATCCTGATAGGTTGAGTCACAAAAACTAGAGAATATTGTAATTGAGCGTTAGATCATTCTGTACGTTCTCTGAACCACCGCAATAAACATGTTTAAACAAATGGAATCATTCACTACATTCTCTGAATGTATCCATATTCAGGCACAATCCACCACAAGCTTTAGAATACATGTATTAGTGGATAGTGTGTAGCTGACCTAAGATTTAAATAAAAAAGACAAATATGATTTAACTAGCGACCCGCCCCGGTTTTGCACGGGTGCAATGTATTATGCATATATTACCTTCATCTTGAATTACTCTAGTGAAGAAAATCGTTGCTTTATTTTAAAGATCTAAGCATACATAGGAACAGACAGACAGCGGGACAACTTTGTTTTATACTATGTAGTGATGATACAAAATAATTATACAAATACACCTTTTTAGTTTATAAACTTAATTATAATTTTATAAAAAAAATATTAGTAAATATAAAATAAATATGTAATAAGTATATAAAATAATCTAAATATTAAAAAAATAATATATATATATCATATTTTATAAAAAAAAACGTAGCTTAGTATACTAGCGGTCGCTAGTGTTTTGCACAGGCAACAGGAATACGCTCATTTTCAATTTTCGCTACTCGCCGAGTTTTATCCGCACGGCATGATTTTTATGACATCTTCAACCAATATGACCATCAAAATCATAATGAATTTTGAACACCTAAACTTTCCTCATTAATCACTCCGTATATTGGTGAAACCTCATGAAAATTCATTCAATAATTTTTGAGTTAATCACGCTCAGATAGACAGACGAAGGTGTCTTGAAGGCTTGTTTTAAATACTACGCAGTGACTAGTAAGCTACTGGGTGAGCTTGGTTTAGTGTCATCAACATGTATTGCTTAATATAAAGCATTGTATTACCATTATATAATGGTTGTACTATAAATAATGCAATATTAATTTGCTATCCAAAAGAAAAATATGTGGCAGTTTTATCTTTAAAGTGAATTATTAAGGGCGTTTTATTTCATCATGATGATTTGCAAGCAGCTCTCTCCTCTTTTAAGAGACGTCACGTTTTAATAATAATAAAAATAAGTTAGAGGAACTCATTACATGCATCTTTAAATTTTAATTTGACATTAATTTGTGACAGTTTAAATAGTATGTTATTATTCTTGAATCATGTTACTGTCCGTCATTTAGTTCTTTAAACGTAGGTAAATTTAATGAAAAAAAAAATATGATATACATTTTTTTTACTTTTATTGTAATCAGTTACTTTAATTACAATTCATTCGTATTAATACATCGATACTAACCCTTTACAACGAATATTGATTCTAGTTAAAAGGTACAAAGTTAAACCGGAACTATAAATAAAGGACATCAAAATAGAAGACGTAAAGAGAGATAACAACACATTGGCCGTCCCACTCTACGGTACAAGGCTGGAATACATGATTAGTTTTTCTTCAGCGGTGTGTAGTACATTCTACAAGGACACCCCGATTGAGAAGAAAACGTAAGCTAGGGTGACCGTGCGATCGAATTTCACTGTATTTTTTTAACTAACGACATTGTCATTTAACTTTTTAACGACTTTTATTATTTGGAGTTTTGAAAACTGGTTCATTTATAATAGTTCAAAAGTTCATTTCCTTTTTTTGTAAGAAAACTTGATATATATAGTTATCATCCTCCTTACTGTCTTAACCATGATTTTATTTTAAATTTGTTTATAACTCGCTTACTTTTTATTTTTTAAACAGTAACGGTGTTAGTAAATTTCATTTTTGATCGTTCAATAATTTATCTAATTTTGATACATACTGCATAATGTTTCCAAGTATTTATCGTGACCGATGCTAAAATATAAATATGCCAAAATGTGTGCTATAAGCTTACGGTAATGCCAAATCGTTTATTTATCAAGCACTTCTTTAACAACTCTGTATCTGTTTTTCAAGTAATGGTTTCATGTGGAATTTTCATTAAATAGTATCAACAGTATCTACATTTTTCGCTAAAAGGATGTGGTACGCACCCAAGGGCGCCCGATGATAAGTAGAGGCGTCATAGGTTACTCATATCTACAGCAAGAAATAAATAAAACATCATATTTCAACATAGCAACTAAGTATATATTTCGTAAATTTGCACATTATTAAACATTAGCTACATTTACGTAATACACTAATATATACAAATATTTTACTTTAATTTATTGTAAATTAGTATACATAGTCCGTTTTAAATCGATTTGTATCCATACATTATTAAGAACTCTACTACAATATACATCATTAGGGCCAATAAAAATAAAAGAATAGCATCAGCGTCTAACAGAAATTATCGTTTTTTCAATTTATTATAATTTAATGAATTCGACCATATTTCCATCATGTAAACAGTTATTACAATGATGGTTAATTAAATCACAATGTCAAAGGCAAGTTAACGAGATACGTTGGAATGTGTTACAAATTTGGAATGTGTCAAAAAAAGTACCAACGTGACATTATTAAAAGTTTGTAAGTATGTAATTGATTAGTGACCCTCAATGTCAGGAGGTCATATTAAAAGGAAGCATATCAGAAAATGTAACAGTTTCAGATGTCCATGTCTTCATTTAATAGAAAGTATTATTTTGCAATATTATTTTGCTCAGAATTAAAAGATTTATCACACATTGTTTTCAAGTCATCGGCAGTTTAAAATTATTATTGCTATTAGCAAAGTACTACTAATAGTTTAAAATTATCATGACCAATGCAACAAAATTGCTTTTAATTATTAACAGGAAGCTATTTTGAAATTATGCTATCTTTGCTTAAAAACAAAAGCATATGTTAACACATTGCTTATCAAATTAATATTTCACTTCTTATATTTTACATATTTACAATTATCCTATTTCACGTTGATGTTTCATTTGTATGGAACTTAATCTGTTATTATCATACGATCTTGTACAAATTAAACAGACACTTAATATTATTTACTTTATTATAAAAATAATACTGGTCGAAGATGCCTTATTGATTAAATAACTTAAAAAATAAAATAAATTTCCGTGAATACTTAAAAACGACCTAAATTATAAAGAATAGTGAACGCTTTTATTTAGGATTTATTTATTTTGATGAAGGTCTTTACGTCAATTAATTATCAACAACTTACGTACGAATACAATAATTTTTTATAATGTTTCTTAACACATTGATTTGTTAACACATATATACATATAATTTTTTTTTTAATTCTCATTCATTCAAGTCATTACATTACATAATCCTGTAAGCCACATTACGAAAGGAAATAAACAGATTAAACTAACATAAGATTGTTGACTAGGATAAGCGTCTTCGTTATAAAGATTTTCTTATTTAATAATTACACTTTAATTGTTTAGAAAATCAAAGGAATATTCGAAATGCATATGAATTAGTACTAAAAAGGCGGGGCTAATTCGTACTGTACAATTATTTTGTCTTATTTCATTAAATACCCGATAAGCTAGTTTTCAGTAGAACCTTTCTTGTCCGAAATTAAAAAAATCGTATTTTGCACAGTCCTTATTAAACAGCCTAAAATTGATGGAAAGAGCTTTAGTTTTAAAATTGATAGCAAATTGTACATAACGTTCTATTATCTTACAGGCAATAATTAACAAATAAAATATCTTTCACTTTCATACCACGTACGGCCTAAACATATCCATTCCTGGTCTTCCTCCTTCTTGGTTTATAACGACCAATCCGCGTCTATTGTTTTCTAGGCTTGAGTTAAAATTTGCTGCCGCCATCGCCCTCTCTCTTTCTAGAGCAATTATTCTGTCCCTATCTAGCATCGCTGGTTGTTTGACAGCTGTCAAATCGGCGGCCATTTGTTGTGGAGGTTGTTTTTCAGGTTCGGGTGAAGGCAGTGTTACGTCTTTGATTTTGCTTTTTTCATCGGGCTGATGGGCTGTGTGAGTGTCCTTTCCTTTCGTGTCTTGTTGGGCTTTTTTCGAACGTTTCCACTTCATTCTTCTATTTTGAAACCATATTTTTACCTAAGGACAAAGCAAAGAAATAGTTATATTACATTAATTTTGGCATAAAATATAAAATGTTTTTAAAGTAATTGTCAGCATATTACTGATTTCATGATTTGATGTATGGTGAATGCGTACGAAACCACTTAGAATATTGCTTGATTACCATAAAGCAAAAACTCAAAGCGGGTGTAAAAAGATTAATCTTTAAACCCATATAAAACACCCCACGCAATAAACCTTATGGGTAACGTTTACCTCCCCTATAATCTTGTTGGGACATTTGTAAGCTCAAATCCGGGCATCGCTCAGCTTGACATTTCGTTCCCGCCATTTTGCTTGTGTCAAATAAAGGTGTTATTTTAAGATGTTATGACAAAAACTGATTATAAATTAAAGTAAGGTTTTGTCTTTCTTAGCTTCCCCATTTGAAAAATTTGGTTTTATTGTAAATTAATTACTAATGTTTATCGCGTTTGATTTGGATTTTAACTGTCAAAGTGTACTTACAAATCATAGTTTTCTAAATTTAAATAGAGTTTCGTGGTAGAAAATTAAAATTAAGAATTTTTATTAAAATTATAAGTAGAACTATATCTATAATTTAGAAATATTATTTATAAATGTTCTCAATTTTGTCACGTGCATGTAATAATTGTAATACTTTGTGGTTTTTTCTAAATATTACAAACGATTTTGATAGAGTTACACGAATTTATTAATATTTAAAAACTAATTTTACACCGACGCATTGTTATTTGTAATGAACGCGTTACAACACTGTTGTTTGTTCTAAAGTGATGAAGCTATCATGCATTCTTACCTGCGTTTCTGTTAGCATAAGGCTCGTTGCAACTTCGAATCTCTTAGGTCTCGAAAGATATTTATTCATGCGAAATTGTTTTTCTAGTTCTAGAAGCTGCTGTGATGTGAAAGCGGTTCGGGGTCGTCGCGTCTTCCCTAGAAGAGCATGAGGCGCGCCTGTAAAAGAAAATATATATTAAGTAATAGACCAGGGTTAGGGTACCTAGTTGAATCGAAAATAGACTCTTTCTATTACAGGCAACCAAGAAAAATGGCAACAAAATTTAAAGTATATAGCATATTATATTCAATTTTTTTTAAATGTCTGTTGCTGCTTTAAAAGAGAACAAATTTTATGATAAAATGATTAAAATTTGACGAAAAACAACTCTCTTTTATCACGGACGAGTTAGTATTGGATGAAAATTCTTTTATATGCGAAACAATATATTTCTTATCTAATTTACGGCACACAAAAACTATCGGCGACATACTAAGCCTATAAAAATGATAATTATCAATTAGCCTAACAGGATTGACTTCAGCGCGACATTTGGTTATGTTTGCACAAACCGATAAATGCGCGCCCAAATCCACGCATCTGTCAACTTTCGGCGGGAACCTGTCATTGTGCCATTTCGCGAGAGGTTCCATTTGGTGAATCGTTTGCTCATTGCCTTTATTGCATGTAATTTGATAAGTGGTTGATATAATAAAAATGTTATATTACGGATCGTTCAATGGTCTATCGAAATTTTTCGATTTTAGTGTAGATATTGCTTTATTTATTGCCCGGTCGGAATTAACTACAGATTTGCTGTGGTGAATTTTTGTAAATGTAAAGTGCAAAATACTATACATCTTTATAGACTTCTATGAAGATGTATAGTATTTCTACCCTTTTCTTTCTTAAACCCCTTTTTTCCCCTTAAAACTAATTATTATAATGAGGTAGGTATTTGTAGATCCTTTTTTAAGGCACATTTTAAAGGGTTTCTGAGGATATGTTATTGATTTAGTTCAAGGTGCACTGTGGCGGTATGTCCAGGCTATAGTTTAAACATTCGAAAAATATTTAAAAATACATTAAAGGAGGCAAAGCGTTCAAGTTAACAGCAGATCGTGCTTAAGAGCCCAAATTGAAAATCAATAAATAAAGATTGTCATGTTGACCGTACGTGACTTTTCTCTGAACGCTTAATGGGTGTTTTAAAATGTCCGTATATTATACATTCATTGGTCTAATATTGTAAAGCGACACGGTCGTTAATGTTATATTGAGTTTGTACTGTTATTATTGTTACATATAATGATTTCTAAATGAATTAATTTGCATAAAAATAGTAAAATGTCATGGGATAATATCATATCTATTAACAGGTTTTAAACGATATTCAAACCGTTAAATTTCTAGCCTACTCTGTTCTCTTTTTTGTATTATTATTTTATATTTTTTGCATGTGTATCTTTAATACGCTAATTATTATTTTATTTCATATTTAAACATGTTATCGTGATTAATATTTCCTTTATGACCGATCATAGTTCAAAAAGTTCTTCGTTTGCCAATTTTAAATTCTGAATTCGTACCTTTTTCTTAATGGTAGGTCGTTTTGTTACCAAAAACGCTGCATATACGTCGCAAATAAATCAATCCGGCTATAAAGAATCCGTAATGTCCTCAGATTAAAGTCTACGTAATCGCTTGCTTGTATTCCGCTAGCGAACGACGTAAATCTTACCTCATGGTTAGTGCATCAGTTAATGTTGCTCTACTTACTATGGTAGAGCCACGAAGCAGTCTTTTCTGTTGCATGTATGGGCTGGTTTGTCCGGGGAAGTACCACAGCATCACAGAAGATCGGCGTGAAGTGAAAGTAAAACCGGGCCTACTTTTTAATTGATTGGCAACGCATATTCAGCCCCTCAAATGTCCATAGACGGCGGTTATCACTAAACATTAGGTCAATTGCTATATGCCAATTTTTCATGGTCTTTGATTTAGGAAATAGTGTGTCACACAGCATTTCCTAAGTAAAGTACACGCTAAATCAACTGTGCTGTGGCCGACTGAAATCCGAAAACAACTTATGAATAAAAAAAATGTGGACCGAATTGTGAATCAAACCATTCTTGAATCGACCACACCAGAGAATTTCATTAAAATCGGTCCAGCGAGGAAGATTTCAGTGACGTATACACGTACCTTCTGTACGTGTATACGTCACTGAAATCTTCCTAAAAATTATAGATATAAAGATAACATATTTTCGAAGTAGAGTAACTTGTGTGTGGTCCAATCGAACGTTGGGCCATGCAGCTAACGCGGAGACATTAATATCAGAGAGACGCCTCCCGTTTTGGAAACACTCCGGATTTTGGGATTACTTGCCTTATTGTTTAAGTTAAATAAAACCGACTGACTTTCATAAAAATTGCGATATTATTAAACAAGATCGCAAAAGACGTGTACCGGTTTTCTTTTATTACTTCCCTTTTCAGGTATTTAATAAGCAAAAACATTGACTGAAATTTGATTCTACATCTACATCGATAAAAGATCTGATGACCTAAAAAAATTAATGAAAATTGTTACCTAACAAAATTCCACATACCACCAAAATTAAGTAAATTTTATAAAGACTAGTTAATTTCGGGAAACAATCGAAAGTGCGGTTACGGGAAAACTTAATATAAAAGCAGCGATTAGACACAGTTGATAATCTTTGATTGCAATAACTTTCCTGTTTGTTTTGTCATGTTAACGTGACAGATTTCGTTACGTGACGTTATTGCGCTGAAACAATATAATTTAATCAATCGTATCTGCACGATCATTGCGATAGATAACGCATATTAAAAACTACGGCGAATCGCGGCCCTCTGAATTGGAACTAGCCCGGGTACGTAGTAACAACACACGGAGCCCTGTTTATATCTTTAATACAGCACCCGGCGGGGGCCGGCAGAGAAATCGAATTACACTGATTGCAAGACTCGCGCTCAACGGAGCGTCGTGATTTTATTGTCGTGCGTCTGTGTTTGCCCTAATCTAACTAAGTGATACGGTTATTAATAATTGCGAACGAGCGGCGTTGTTAAGGCGCGTATAAATCTGATCATCAATAAAAGCTGCGGTTGTGTTCGAAGAACTTATCCTGAGCTTTCGTACTGCTTTAACAATTTCATTCGTCCTTTTAAACAATGTTATATTTATTTTAATGTCATGTACGATGAAGTTCATTCGTTAATATGTTTTTATAAAATGAAATTATTGAGGTATAAATGTTATTTATTTAATAAAACAAACTAAACAGCAATAATTTCTATTGCTATGTCCTTTCACGGTTTCTGTAATTATTTGAATTTTTTTATTTTATTTTTAATGAAATGAGATGCATGAACTGATAATTTAAACCTGATTTCTTATCTATTTCGTTGGCCTTATCCCAGCTGAATATATACGTTTTTTTTTTATATTTTATTGCTAAAACACATAATTTCACTAAATGATAAAACATTCTTAAAAGACTTTACGGTGATTTTACGGTGGTAGGGCCACTCAGCAGCCTCGGCTGTTGCAAGAATGGGCAGGCCCGTCCGGGTAAGTACCACGACCTCATAGAAGACCAGCGTAAAGTGGAAGTATGTCAAATACTTTCGCGTTTCGTCTGGTGAGTGAGGTAGCCGGAGCCCAATTTTCAAAAGATTGTCAACGCATCTGTGACCCTCGGGTGTAGCAGAGGTCCCATGGGCGGCGGTATTTACTTACCATCAGGTGAACCGTCTGCTCGTTTGGCAACTTTTCACATTAAAAAAAAGACATACACAGACCATGGTCGTTGCATGGTTTGAAGAGACGGAGATAGGAGGTTAGACATACTTTTTGCGTAAATACAAGGAATGATTCTGAAATTTCATCATAAGAATCATTCTCTAAATATTCCCGAATCTCTAATAGCGTTTGCTAAATCTACCATAAAATTACCTAAACCATCCCTTCACTTGTTAAATGCTGACATGTTGATCGTATGTTGCCTCTCTAATAGAAAAAATCACCCGTACCGACATCCATTTTACTTCGATACGTGCTCACATGGACTTTACTCGCGCATAAAGCTCGTTATAAATCGGTCGCATTAAGAGGGGTGGTTGTATTTAATATTTATTGGGGTGATTAGTTTAATGCCCTTAAAGTTGGGGTCGTTTAATTCGGGGCAGGCGCGAAATTTATTTCTGTTTATTGTTCGCTAATTTGTTTGTTTTTATTTCAACAATTAGGTTTGGCAATAGGCAAATGTTAAATACAACTGGCCGTTGTAAGTCTTGCTCAATCGTTAAAAGGCAACTACTAAGTAACGTGTTGTATATTATAACAGTTTAGTACTAGTTAAATAGAAAGGTTTGAAATAACGATTTTTTACGTAAAAAGTTACATGTGTTGACCCCGTGGCGTAATTATGTTTAGTGAAAAGAGATATGTCTATATAGTACTGTTATTCTGATCCTTAAGAAGATCATTATGATCAATTCAGAGAGATTAACCATCCTTTTGGCAACTTAAATAACATTTGAAAAGCCATTTTACAACTATTACCTATAGATTAGTTAACTTCCGATAATGACTGTTTCAGAAACCGCGTGTCAATATAGTAAATATTTTTTGTTTAATAAATTATGTATTTTATTTAATCCTACCGGAAATAAAATTGTTAACGCTCTCATTTGGTCAAAACCTATTGTATAGATAACACTTATAGCTTAGCCTTTCTTTTTCCACAAGTGCAGTGGTTTTTATTAGGATTTAAGTGGTATTTTAACATGAAGCGTAGAGTGCTTTCAAACTGATGCTGGGACGAGATTCAAGGAGTGAGTCGAAGCCAGGAGTTCTAATGGGTTTGTTCAGCTCTTACCTACATCGCTTGTATACTTCGTGCGAGAGGGCGTGACTCTCTCAGCGCATGCGTGCTGATGTCTTAGTATGGAGTGCGCTGCATAAGTACCGGCCACATAGCTAGCTTGCAGCTTTGTTTGTATTGCAAAATTTCTTTTGCTCATACTTAGGATGGTTTTGCTTGAAACTAGATGGAAACGTCTTATGATCAGGAGGCATTTAATGCAACTCAAACTAAATTAACTCCTCAACTGATTATCTTATAACTTTGTACACATATTTTTAGGGTTATTAAAAATGACATAGGATTTTTTTTTATTAAAATTAAAAAAAAAGATATTTATTTAAGGGTTTCAACGAGACTTAAGACGCTAAAAGCTAGTTATCTAATAAAATCCTCTTTCCTTTCAGCGATGATTCCTTTATTAAGTTTTTACTGTCAACTAATTTATGTATAATATGGCTTCATAAGCATTATGAAATCTAATACATATAATACACGCAAGATCTCTAAATGATTCCCACCGAAGTTACGCTTACTTACGTAGAGATGAAAATACCTCCTTTTAGATAGCTGTCACTGGGTATTGAAGCTGGAACTGACAGCTAAAAAGCATTGGATTCAACATTGCGATCTTCTGTGCAAGTACCACTGAGAGTTTTGGTCAAGCAAGTGGAAAGCGACTGGCTGTTCACCTAATTTTAAGTGATAACCACCGCTCATTAACATTTGCAACACCCGTGGGGTTACAGATGCATT